ACCTGTAAAGGGATTCCGGTTCTTGGTATAACGGAATCATATTTATTGCTCAAATGATTGTATTGTTATGGAGAGACGGCGTTATTTTGTAGATAAGTTTTGTGTGGATAAAAATTTATATTTTTACCATAGATTTAAAAAATTGTATCAATTTTACTGCGGCTCAATAATAATTATTATAATTTTAGTCTTAAACTCGGACTTATTTTAATGCAAAAAATTGTCAATAAAAATTAAAAATAAGGATTTCAATGGTCTCGATCAAAAAATTTATGGTTGAGTTAGATTTTTCGATATGAGTTGCGCTGAATTTGTGGAATATAAAAAATTCGATTCGATTTGTCTGACAAAGAATTTCGCTACCGTAGGATCATTATAGTTACGGTTGCCGTTCACTATGGTTTCGTTTCACCAGTTTCCCTTATCATCAGATCACCAACTTCCTTGACCATCCGACACTGGGTAGGTGTCAACCAGCATACATGCTCTTACGACTTTACAGAGACTTGTGTGTTTGATAAACAATCTCTTGGGCTTGGTCACTACGACCCCCTTTGTGAGGAGACACCACTTCTCCCATGTTACAAGGCTATTTTGTTGAGTTCCTTAAAGATAGTTGTCCGTGCCCCTAAGTATTCTTTACCTACCCACTTGTGTTAGTGGTACAGGTCATTCAAATTTTTTGAGAGAGTATGGTATAGGTTACTCCAGTGCCGTAGCATATAGTACTCGGATCACTAATCACCCAACCCGTGTACTCCTACGAATTACATCATAATTTAGTTTAATTCCATTTGGGCTAAAACATCCAAATAGGCCCAACTAGTGAACAATAGTCATAACCAGCCCAAAACTAAGCCCAGTTTTGAGGTAATTTGAAAACAAAACAATATTATTATTATTATTAAGGTACAAAATTCATTGTTTTGGCTATTTAATAAACACCTAAATGTATAGAATAAATAAATAAACACCAACCCATACTCCCACACCGTCCATCCAGGCTCGGATAAGGAAGTCTTTCCCGTCTTCATCTTTGTCTTTGGGTCACAATTCCTCTCGAGGTTTAATGAAACAATTATGAATGGAATCGGCGAGAGATATATTCTCAAGTGGGGAGTAGTTAGTCACTTGGAAAATTTTGACGAGTTGAACTACAAGCTGCTAATTTTTTTCCCCACTTATAGACATTACAATACACTATGTATAATACTGCTACACTTCGCTCTACTTAAAGATTATTCCAAGAAAACCTTAAGTGATATTTGTGGAGAGGCCAGACAATTTATTCTTAAATTAATTAATTAGTTTTATGGTTTCATAACCCATTTTCAATCAAATAAATTTATCCTCTTAATATTTATTTATTTTTGGTACAAAATTTAAAAAAATGGAGTTGCTTTCAATCATTACTTTTTTTCTTATTTGAAAAAGACTTCCAATCTATTTTTGAAGTAAAAAAATAAAAAAAAATAGAAATTATAAATTAAAAAATAATTTTTCCTATATATATATATATATATATATATTTTAAAAGTCTTGGTAAATGGTCAACTAAATTTTGGTGTTCATAAACAGTTTCCTGGGAAAAACTGTTTTGTTTTAATATATATAAATTAATTAATTAAAGAGAAAATAAATAAATAAATTGAAATATGGAAGAAATTGGGATGTCGCTTTCATTCTCACTGAAATTTCAGCTTTGGAATTCTGTCGTATTCACATTTCTTTAATTTAATTAATTGATTCCTCTCGGCGTAGCTCACCAGCCGCCGTTTCAGCTCTTTATCAACTGCTGAATTACAACATTCTCCCTTCCAAATTTCTAATTTACCCATCACTATAGGGTTATTTTTGTCCATCTGCCTTTTTTTCTTTTAATTTTTATTTCCTCCATTTCGAGATATTTTAAGTATTAAAAAATGATTTATTTTTTTTTATATTTCAAATTATTCAAAATCTTCCATTATTATTAATTTTAAAATTAAATTAAAACAAATAGCCCATTAAATCCAAACCCTAATCTAAAATTAGCCCTGGGAATTAAATTTGATGCATGTTTGATTCCGATAGACTTATCCGATAAAAGAAGTGTAATGGTTAATCAGCCAAAAGTCGTGAACGAAATTTTTAAATGTTAATCCTGTTGAAGATTATTGGGAGTGAGTCCCACATTGATTAGTGGAAGATCATGAGTTTATAAGTAAGAAATACTATCTCTGTTGGTATGAGGTTTTTTGGAGAAGCTCAAAGCAAAGTCACGAGAACTTATGCTCAAAGTGGAGAATCGTGATTCCTAACAAACCCACTAGAAGAGAAAATATGATTAAGGTAGTTTTGTGACATAGAGAGAACCCTAATAGTGGAGCATACCACCAATTTGTGAGCTAACTTCTAAAAGATTCTTTATCTAATGATATTTATTTATTTTTAATTGGTTTTAATTACTATATTAATAATTTGGTGGATAAATAAAGAAATAAAAAAAAAAAAAGAGAGAGAGAGAGAGAGATGCATAAATTGTGGGGGAGTGGGTGAATCAAACCATTTTTTTAAATGCATAAAAGCAAAATTAGAGTCCTTGAATTGAATTTCCACTTTATATTTTAACCAATGAAACATTGCCACGTGTGAAGAACTCGTATGAAGACATGTGGCACTTCTCAAAATGAATAATATGATTCTCCGGTCATTGTTCAGCATAAGTGATATCAAAGTTATACCCTAATCAAGAAATGATAAGCTCTCAAAAGATACAAGAATGGTAGAGATTCAGGAGATTCGATGCAACTAAGTTTTTATTAGTTAAACCCTAGACCTTAAATTTTTGGAAAATTGAAAATTTGTGTCAGATTCGTGGTTTGACCCAACCAACTGTTACAATCCAACCAAATCCTATCTACTTTTAAGATAATATATGTAAATGATTGGAACCTATGAATGTTTGAAATTATTAATGTAACATAAAATTTTATAAAATAATTAGAAATAATAATTGGCCGACCCATTCAAATATCTATAAAAAAAAAAAAAAAAATCCAAAAGAGGGAATTGAGAGCTGTCACCAATCAAGAGGCTTCTTAGAAAAGTCACTCAATCCTATCCGTCCACTTGTATTAATTTTTAATATTTTGTTTCAAAAATATTTTTTATATTATAAAAAGATTTTTAAAAAGTTTTAATCTTTTCAAAATATTTATAATTTTAAAAATATTAATAAATATAACAATTTTTAATTATATTATTAATGCTAATTTTAAAATTTTAATCAATATTTTTTAAACATAGTATTAAATACAAGGGTATAACATATTTTTAGACTTTTTTTTTTTAATTTACGAATATTTTTATTAAATTAATATAATATTAAATAAACATATATTTAATAGTTTAAAAATTTATGAGAAGAAGGTAAGAGGGATTTGTAATATGAATATAAAAAAATCAATTTTATTTTATATTTTTGTCCGTTTGTAGTGACGGTGACGTGTTTCTGTTTAAATGATACATGGGACCCGCAATCACATGCCTGGCGTGGGGCCCACTCCTATCTTTTTGGTAGTATAGCTTTGAAAGTGGGTCCCACGCCTTTTTCTTTTATTATTATTTATTTATTTATTTAAATAATAAGCAAAGTTGCGTTTCCAAACCCTCCCTCTCTCTCCATCTGTTTCCCCATCCCATACACTGCCTCCACTATGAGGTGCAAGCCTTCACACCAATTTAAAATAAAAATAACTAAATGACCAAAATGCCCTTTTCTTTCTTTTATTATTGGATTGGCTGAAATGGGAATTAAATAGATTTTGAATAGTAGTAAGGATTAAAATGTTTTTAAATAGAAAAAGAAAAGGAAAAAGGGGAATAGTATTATTATAGAAATAAAAATTAAAATAAAAAATGAAGGGAGAAATGTGTAATTTAGCAGAAGAAGGCGGGAAAAAAATCAGAGATTTAGGAGAAACAGATAGAGGTCCCATCACCGTACACGTGTACGTGAAAGAGTGGTCAGAGTACGTACGCACAATCACTACAGCTTCAACCGCACGATACTAGACACGTAAGCGCCCATGTGCTCCTCTTTCTCTCTTGCCCCCTCCCCCTCAATATATATTTAAATTAATTCATTTATAAATTTTAATTAACATTTTATTTTAATATTATGATTGAATTTAATTTATTGATTACCATGTAATTTTGTTTTAGATTAAAGATTGATTTTAAAAAATGTAAATATAGATTAATTAAAGAAAGAAAAAAAAAAGTGGTTTTGTTTGTGTGCAAGAAAAAGGCAGGAGTTGGGTTGGGTCGGGTCCGAGTTGGCTTGACTTTTAAGGCATAAAGTTGGGGGATGGTTTAGGGTGCGTTAAAAAAGTTGCGACTCCCAATACACACGTCTTTTTGGGATCCAATCATCCCTCTCCTTTTTGTTTTTCTTTACAATGGACGTGGGATCTTACAACCTATCCCTTCGAGGTCTAATGTCCTCGCTAGCCGTTTTGTGTCTGGCTCTAATACTATTTGTGACACCCCTATTGAGAGTGAGTCACACGTTAGCTAATTTGGAGAACGATCACGAATTTATAAGTAAAAGAATACATCTTCATTGGTATGAGGCAGAAGCCCAAACCAAAGTTGTGGAAGCTTTTGTTTAAGGTGAATAACATCGTACCATTGTGGAGAGTCATGATTCCAACCAAACCCACCAAAGCAAAGCCATGAGAGCTTATGCTCAAAGTGGACAATATCATACCAGTGTGAAGAATATCATACCATTGCGGAGAATCAGAGAATACCATACCATTACGGAGAGTCGTGATTCCAACCAAACCCTCAAAGTGGGCAATATCGTACCGTACCAGTGTATAGAGTCGTAATTCCTAACAACCCCAACCAAACCCATCTTACATATTGTCCATTTTAATCCGTTACACTACTCATTTTTATATTTTGGTTGTTACGAGCTTCGAGAATTGAGCTCAACTTTGTAAAGTTTTGTTTAGACGACGGCAAAAGAACGGACACTATGATTATTTTCTCCATTACATCATTTTCTAAACCCTGTTTGATCTTCTCTCTTTTTCTTTTTCTGGTTTTAATTTTTACAGCGTAGATTTCTGTTACGATCTCCTCATTTTCCATGGAAGAAGAACAGGAAAAAAGGACCACCTCAATTTCTCCAATTCGATCATCTTCTTCCTTCATCGCGACGCACACAAATTCCCAAATCTACTTTTTTTCTATTATTATTCTCTTAAATTCCGCCATGGATTCAGCTCCACCAGTGCAGAGTCGGAGCTTGCTCATCGGAAAAGAAGTTACAAGCCTCCTCTCCGCCGAAGAAATTATGCTCCTCCATTTTCGGAAACATCATCTGGGTTTGTTGATACCCCTTTTGAAACTGCAAGTAATTCAGCGCCGTCGTCGCGCGGTTCAGTTTCACGCCAGCGGTGGCGATGGACGGAGATGATGGAGGTATCGCTCCCGTCATGAAATGGTTGTTGTTCTGCAACACTCCCGGTGAAGAAACACCGGCCGTCGGGCTGTAATCTTCGTTTAAAATCGCGCTCGAATCGCTGTCGGATGACCCATCTTTTGTTGGTGGCTCATCCCCTTCTCCGCCATTGTTGTTGAAGCTTCTCGCCGGTGGAACAGAGAAGTCATCGGTAATTTCCGGCTTAGTTTGTTCGATCAAAGCATTTTCAGAATCGGCCGGCACCAACATCTCTGAGTTATCTTCTTGAATCTTTGCTTTCAATTCCCGAATCTGCTAACATAAATTTACAGAGTTCATAATGATTACAACATTTCTGAACATTCAAAAAACAGGGGAGGGCTATAATTTTTACCTCTTTGAGAAGAGCTTGATTATCATTTTGGAGAGCTTCAAAACTGAGTTTAAGATTGTCGTAATTGGTTTTAAGAACACCATAATCTCTTTCTAATTGCTTAGTTTTCCATCTAGCTCGACGATTTTGGAACCAAACAGCCACTTGTCGAGGCTGTAATCCAAGTTCTTGAGCAAGCTTCAATTTCCTCTCTGGTTCGAGCTTATTTTCAACTTCGAAATTCTTCTCTAACGCCTTAACTTGCTCCACACCAAGTCGCCTTTTCTTCTCAGAAACATGCCCTAATTCTTCCTCATCAAACCCATCAAGCATACACTGGAATTCCATCTCATAAACATGGTTACTGTTCTTATTTCTCGGACTCTGTTCTTGATCTGTACACAAAATTGGCAAAGAATTACTCAAAAATCCATCGAATCTTGCAAAACCCAGAAAGGAAACAAGCCGATTGGTTGATTGATTGATTGACCATAAGTCGGAGGAGACAGAAAAAGAAACCCACATGGGTTTGTCTGTAAATTACAAGTACAAAAACAAAAGGGGGAAGAAATTGGTGGTTTTAATGTAAACCTGATGTTGGGGAAATGGAGATGAGTGCAGCCATGGAATCTGATCGTCTCTTCATGATTGCGAATCAGCACAAAATTAAACACACAGAAAACTTAGAAGATGAAGACGATGATGATTTTAATGATTGTTCTTGGTTTGTTTTCAAGTGTCTGAACTATTTGTTGAACAGAGCTGCTCACAATCACTGTACAAATTGTTGCTTCTTCCTGCTTCATCATCATTGTTGTTGAAGATTTCTTCTCCCTCAGAACCCATTTTAGAAGATTACAGGCAAAAACCAGAAGAAAAACGGATCAAATTAAGCAAAAAAAAAACATGGAAATAGAAGAGAAATGGGAAGGATGATGATGATGAGTGAAGCAAGCAAGCCAGTTCAGAACCCAGGTGGCCTTCCTGCTTTCTCTCTCTTTAAATAAATCAAACTTGGGTTACAATTTGACTGCGGTTAGGTCATGCTGGAGTTCCCATTCCCATTTCCCATTTCCCAAATCCCAAATGAAATTAACTCTAAATTGCAATCCAAATGCAACTTTCTTCTCACCGTCTCGGCTCGGCTCGGCTCGAGCATGGGGATTTAAGCCGGTAAAATTTGGTTGGCGTCAGCGTATCGTCACAACGGAGTTGTCTGTCCAACTAATCGACAATCCCCAAATCCTGAAAAAATTGCTTTTTTTTTTTACTCCTCCAAGCGTGGGGTAATTTTTTTTTTTTTCACAAATTACCACCCTAGTAAAATCACATTTACCACGCCACGACCCCCGCACACTCTTTTTCTTAACTTGATTTTTTAGAATATTTGGTGAAACTTGTGTTCGGGTTAGATATGCATACAATCGTAAAAAAAAAATAATAATAAAATATGATAAATCAACGGATCTATAAATTATTCAAAACTGGTCAATTTTCGCGCATGCTATGAAAATAAAACTACAAGTCCGTGGTCACTCTCGTACACACAGATGGGTAATTACGACGATTCTCATATAACAGTACGATTTATACGTATGCACAACATCATAGATCAACGATGTGCATACATATCTAGGTGAATTGAATTAGGACAAATAAACCTTGAAAATGAAATCAACACGAAAAATTGAGTCATACGGGTCTAGCTTAATCGAATTGTTGACTTATTCATTGACTATTGACCTAGCGAACCATGACCGAACCAAATCGAACCATTCGGTAAATATTGGGAACCTTAAAATGTAATTTACCCTTAATTTTTTTTCACTTTTTTTCACTTTACTCCTAAGAGTAAAAGGCCATTTTTTTCCCATAAAAATACAAGAATATTTTAAAGACATATAATTTATTTTTCTTTATTATCTATTTTTTTAATGATTTGTTCGCACGTGCATATGACATCAAGTTAATGGTCACATCAAGTTATTAACAAAAATGAGGCCTTTTATTTTCCTTCTTTATAAAATATACTAAATTACACGACTTTAGAACCAAACAAACCAATTAAAAGACACAAAATAAATAATTTATTTTATGAAGTTTGAATTTTTTTTAAAAATATTAATATTTAAAATATTTATTTATTTATAAAAAACTATGTCTAATAAAATATTATCATAAATTCAATAATATTTCGAATATAATTTTAATAAAATTTAAATTTAAATATTAGAACACAGTGGGATAGAGTAGGGATTAGAATCATATCTCTTGTCCGAGCCATATCTCTTGCCTAGGTTTAAGGGGAAATCTCATGCTTTCCCTCATTTGTCATTTAAATAAGAAGTCTTCTCGTTCAAGGCAAGTTCCTACGGGACAATGTCTGTGTGCACATCCAAAGATAAAAATCAAAATTTCAAAGTTTTAGGTCCCGTTATAGTCATAGTAACAATAATCATGGTTTCATGGAGACATAAGTAAGTGAACAGCTTCTATCGTTAATTAATTCTACTGCTTGATTGAATTTTGAAAGATCATCGTAACACAACACGAAAGTCTAGTCTAATTATATTTTAGAAGCTGGATTGTTACATCTAAACCTCCATTTTAATCGAAATCATTAAATAAAATCTAAATTAAAAGACGGGTATTTTCAAAAAAAATAATAATAAGGAAATAAAAATAAGGTGATATTATGTTATGTTAAGCTATATATGTTACCAACCAAATTACAACCATGCATTCCCTTTTTTTTTTTTTTACAAAAACTTCAAAAACTAAATTTTTTATAAATTTCACTTTTAAATATTTTTACAAAAACTCAAAAATATTTTTATTATGAATGCACATTTCAAAAATATTTTGAACTTTAAAAAAAAAATAATAATAATAAATTTAAAGATAATATATGAGAGGTCGATATACCCTCTTCGTCTATATATTGACAGTAAGATTTTATTTTATTTTATTTTAATAAAAATAAAGGTGTCGATACTACTTTAAAATTCCATGGACATTTTTAACCTTTTACGAAGAGTATTTTTAAAATAAAATATTAACGATTTTTTATTTAAAAAACTAACTTTTTAAAGTGGAAAGATATCATTCAAATTATTGAAAATATTTTTTTATTAATTTAGTATTTTATGAGAATTGAATTAATTACAGATTCTTGAATTTAATGAGTAATAACAAGTGTAGCATGTTTATAAATTGTCTCTTCTATTTGTATGCTATATATATATATATACTAAACTAATTGTAAAAAGAATAATTAAATGCATTTATTAATACGAATAATTTAAGAGGTATAAATTAAACATTCATTTAAAATATTTTATAATGACACCACGAACTTAAACGTTTATAATAAAGTCGCTAAAACAAAATAACGAAAAATAAGTAAGAAGATAAAATATTGCCGTGATCTAATCTACCCTAATTTCAGTTTTATGGTTGTTATTGTAACGTAGTTATTCATACAAAAGTATTTTACATTTATCTAAAAAATAAGAATAACACGTGACTTGAGTATTTTAAGAAATAATTAGTACGTATATTATTAGTCTCACTGGTCTTGAGTTTCTTCTGCCAACTTCCTAATGTGCAAGCTTGTTCTCTCGGCCTGAAAATTAATCAATTGTAACCCAATGAAATTAATATATAAATATATATATATTGATAAATTGAAAGTTTAGGATTCGATTAGACATCAAGTTTAAAAATATATAAATTATTTTTTATTACGTCATGCACGTGTTAAATATAAAATTGAAAGTTAAAGTTAAAGTTTATAATTTAATGTTAATTTTATAAATTAAGTCCGATTGTAAATTTTAGTCTTTGAATCTTTATATATAATATTAATGGGTATTTTTTAACTTTTTAAAAAAGTTTAAAGGTATTAATGAAACTTTTTAAATTTTGAAGGTATTTTCGAAATGAAGTATTAAGAGTTTCTATCTAAAATTAACGGTAAGAGTATTCTCTTGAAGGATACCTCCCGATCCCAATCGCATCGAATGGTCATAATGCACAATACCAACGTTTGAATTGCGGTTCCACCGAATATCATTCCGGCCCATATACCCTAATTTTCAACACCATTAGTAACGCAAAAACGTGATGCTATACAAAAAGATGAATAAGAAGAATACCATAACTCCTTGGTTGAAGCCCCAACCCATCACAATCCCGAGAGGTAATCCAATTAAGTAATAGCAACCTAAGTTAACATACGCAACGTATGATTGCCACCCCGAACCAACTGCCACGCCTGCTCGAAATAAACGTTCAATTATACAAAAGATTCTTCACCTTCTTACTTTCTTTTAGAATATGTGTTTGAATGTTCAAAAGTTTCGTTAATCTCTTAAATTTTGTTAGATGAACACAATTTTTCAAATTTGCGTTTTTGAAAGATTAACGTACCGGAAAGAACGGGTTGAATGCTGTTGAGAAGGATGGTGAAAGCCAAGAGGATGGATAGCTTGTTTACTTCCTTTAGAACCACTTGACTAGAAGTGAATATCAAAGCGATCTGAGTGTCGAATGTGATGATGATTATCCAAAAAAATAGCCCAATTACGACCGATGTCCCGACCGCCACCATTGTTGCAAACCTTGCTCCTTTCCCATTTCCAGCTCCCAGCTCATTTGCCACCCTAACTCTATAAACACAAGAAGATTTATGGGCTCGGTTGACACCAAGATTAATAAAAACTAGTCTAAATTGGACAATATCATATCATTATAGAGACATGTGGATGGTTCTATTGTTCGTAATTGTAACAACCCAAGTCCACCGCTTGAAAATATTGTCCGTTTTGGCCCGTTATGTATCGCCGTCGACTTTACAGTTTTGAAATGCGTCAATTAAGGAAAGTTTTCTGCTTCTATAAGGAATGATTCGTTCCCCTCTCCAACTAACGTGGGATCTCACAGGGGGTCCAACGTCTTCGTTGACACACCGCATGGTATCTGACTCAGATACTATTTGTAACCGATCAAACCCACTGCTAGTAGATATTGTCCACTTTAACCCGTTACATATCGCGTTTGTTCCTCTCTCTAACCGATGTGGGGCGAAGGCTATTCTGAGATCCCACCTTCGTTGGAGAGGGAAACAAATCATTCCTTATAGAGATGTAGAAGCCTCTCCCTGATAGACGCGTTTTAAAACTGTGAAGTTGACAACGATATGTAATGGGTCAAAACAAACAATATCTACCAGCAGTGGCTTGGACTGTTACAAATGGTATCAAAGTCAGTTATCGGACGGTGCGAGACACTAGTCGGAGTAGGGCTAGACCCTCTACATAGTGGCACGTTTTAAAACCACGAAGTTGACGACAATATGTAACGAGCCAAAACGAATAATATCTACTAGTGATAAACTTGAACTGTTACAACAATAACACTCCCGTTCATACTGCATTACACCAAAAGAAATCAAAAGATAGGTTGAAGTTCAATCATGCATTGAATTATTATCATCTTTATTGGCATGAAAAGGGTAAAGCTATAGATATATATATATATATATATATATATATATATATATATATATATAAACACCTTTTGTTTTGTGTGTACACCTTTCTCCACTAAATTAGAAGGGTGATTTTTGTGTTTAATATGATACCAAACACCATATGATATATATCATTTCTTTCATAAATTAGACACCCTCCTTCCTTTTTTACCTTTCTTATAACCTAATTAAGTAATGAATGCTACATATCACTAACTAATTCTATTCGTCACTGTAATTTATTTCTAGTTAGAAATAGTTATGGAATATATGATATTAGTAATCTTCCCGAATATATTAGTTAGGGAATATATCCGAGATATTCTTAAATTTAAATAGTAGTATATTTTATTTTATTCTCAAGATTTAGTTAGTTTATATTTTCTTGGTATCTTGTATCTATTTAAAGGTCGTGAATATCAATGAAAATATAACCTTCTATCTCAATTCTATTTCTCATTCT